ATTTCAAGTGTACACTCAATGGCTTTTAGCATATTCAGAGTTGTACAACCATCACCACAATCTAATCTTAGAACATTTTTCAACTTCCCAAAAGGAAGGCTTGTGCCCATTAACACAATCCCCATTTCCACTCCTATCCCAGCCCTAGGTTTCTCCTTTGCTTTTCCAAATTAGCTAACTGAAAGCACATATTTCTTTGGCATAGAATAAAAATAAAAGTTAAATTTTGATATATTAATCTAAAAAATGCTTTTAAAAGCAACCACTTATGAAATTTCATTTTTAAATTACAGAATTTCCCCTTCAGATGCATTTAAAGCAGAGACTGTGAAAAATCAACTTCTTTAGCCTATTTATATACATACATCAAATGATAAATATATTTAGTTTATAATTTAGCTTCAAAATTCAAGTTTCCTCAACCAACCCATTAAAGTGAACTAATGTACTACATAAGCCACATATAGAAAATTAGTCCATCGTTTTATTTTTTCAAAATGAATAGGCAAGGAAATACAAATTGGTAAAAAGAGACTACCATTATTTCACAGAACCTAAGATGTACTTTTTTTTCACTTTTTATCATCTCTGAAATTGGGATGCATCTTACAACAGATAGCATGCCATAATTTAGGATTCTTTTTCTTTCTTAAAGGCACACTATTTTTGCAACCAATTACATTTTAGATTTGCAATATGGTATCCTGAATTTTAAAATTGTTGTAATTGTAATGTGAAGATTGAGTGAGGTTGTTACTTTTCTTAACAGAAAATAAAAACAAATAATGCTAATATTTATATTCATGGTGCTTTCCACATTTTTAAAAAATAATAGTTTAAATTATTAGACAGCTTTGATTCCTACTTTATATCTCACTCCCTTTAAAACAGTGGGTGATGAAATAAATTGAATGGACCATAAAGAACATTTTTTTCTTTTTTATTATTTTATTATTTTTTTCTTTATTGTTCTAAAATATAAAATTATGTTTGATATTGCTTGTCTTCTATTTTAGTTTTATTTAGGAATTTTTTTCTTTATTGTTCTAAAATATAAAATTATGTTTGATATTGCTTGTCTTCTATTTTAACTTTTTGTGATTAGTAAAGGCAATACTGATTTGTAAAACTTTTAACTATATATTTAAGTATATATTGGAACATGATGTAAAATGTTTTTCTTACTGAAATTATAATCACATAAAGTTTGAAAACATTAATTTAGAAAACATTTAAAAGACTATTAAAAAACTACATATTATGCAGCCTTAAGAATGAGAAAGTTCTTTAAATACCAACATAAAAAACAAAACAACATTAAGTGGGAAAAAAACAAAGTAGAGAATAGTACAGAAGATGGAACCATCTGTTTAATCATGGAAAAAATTATATATTTGAATTTGTTATATATGCACAAAATACCTTTGAAAGAATACAATACAATACAGTTCCACAATAATAGTTGGAGACTTCAATACCTTACTTTTATAATGGGGACAGAACATTTAGACAGAAGTCAGTAAGGAAATAGAGGACTTACACAATAAAATAAGTAGATCTAACAGACACACAGAACACTCCATCTAACAACAACAGAATATATATTCTTCTTACGTGCACAGGGAGCATTCTCCAGGATACATCACATATTAGGCCACATACAATTCTTAGTGAATTTAAAAAGATCAAAATCATAGAAAGTATTATCTCTAACCCCAACAGAATGAAATTAAAAACGATTAACAGAAAGAAAAATGAAAAATTCACAAATATGTCTACTAAACAACACACTCTTAAACAATCAATAGGTCAAAGGAAAAATCACTAAGGAAATTAGAAAATAAGATGAATGAAAATGAAAACACAACATACCAAAACTAGTGAGATAGAGCAAAAACAGTACTTACAGGGAAATTTATAGCTGTAAACACCCACATTAAAAAAGAAGATCTCAAGTCAACAAACTTACTTTGCATCTTACAAAACCAGAGAAAGATCAAAATAAACCCAAGGCCAGCAGAAGGAAGAAAATTATAAAGGTTTCAGCAGAGAAAAATGAAATATAGACTAGGAAAACAGAGAGAGAATCAACAAAATCAAAATTGGTTCTTGAAAAGATCAACAAAATTGACAAAACTTTAGCTAGACTGGCTAAAAAGAGAGAGAGGAGATGCAAATAACTAGAATCAGAAATGAAAGCAGGGATGTTAAAACCAACCTTATGGAAGTTAAAAGAATTATAAGTGAATACTATGAATAACTATTCATCAACAAATTAGATAATCAAGATTAAATGAACCAATTCCTAGAATCACACAAATTACCAAAACCCACTACAGTAAAAAAAATCTCAACACACCTATAACAAGAAAAGAGAATGAATCGGTAATCAAAGACTTCCCAACAAAGAAAAGTCCAGGACCAGATGGCTTTACTGGTGAATTACAATAAAACATTTAAGGAAGAATTAACACCAATCCTACTCAAATTGATTCATAAAATGGAAGAGGAGGGAACAGTTCCTACATATTCTATGAAGCCAGCCTGAGCCTGATACCCAAACCAGACAAAGATACCAAAAGAAAACTATAGACCATTATCTCTTATGAATACAGACACAAAAATGATCAACAAAATATACCAAATCCAAAAGCATGTTAAAAGGATTACAAACCATAAGTAAATAAAATGTATCCCAGGAATGCAAAAGTGGTTCAACATAAAATCAATCAATGTAATATACCACATTAATAGAAAAAAGGAAAAAAAAAATTACATTATCATCTCAACAGACACAGAAAAAGCAAGTGATGAAATTCAGTGCCCTTTCATAATAAAAACACTCCGTGAATACCACATTAATAGAAAAAAGGAAAAAAAAAATTACATTATCATCTCAGACACAGAAAAAGCAAGTGATGAAATTCAGTGCCCTTTCATAATAAAAACACTCCGTGAAACTAGGAATGGAAGGAAACTTCTTTAAGAGAACAAAGGACATTTATAAAAATCTTACAGCTAATATCATACTCAGTGGTGAAATACTGAAAGCTTTCTCCCGAAGGTCCCAAAACACTGTTATTCAACATTGTACTGGAAGTCCAGAGCAGTTAAACAAGAGAGAAAAAAAGCTATCCAAACGGAAAAGGAAGAAGCAAAACTACCTTTATTTGCAGATGACATGTTTCCAAATATAGAAAATCCCATAGAACCCATAAAAAACTACTAGGGCTAATAAACAAATTCAGCAAGGTTGCAAGGTATAAGATCAACACACAAATATCAGTTGTGTTTCTATACATCAGCGATGAATAACTAGAAAAGAAAATTTTTTAAAAAATTCCATATACAATACCATCCCAAATAACAAAATACCTAGGAATAAATTTAACCAAGGAAGTGAAAAACTGTACACTAAAAACTACAAAACACTGCTGAAAGAAATTAAAGACCTAAATAAATGGAAAGACATCCCATGTCCATGAATTGGAAGACTTAACATTGTTATGTTACAATATTCCCAAAATGATCTATAGATTCTATGTAATCTCTATCAAAATTCTAATGACCTGTTTTACAGAAATGGAAAGCTGAACATCAAATTCGTACAGAACTGCAAAGGTCCCTGAATAGCCAAATAATACTGAAAAAGAAATCAAAGTTGGAGAATGTGTAGTTCACAATTTCAAAGCCTGCTGCAAGCTACAGTAATCAAAACAATGTGATACTGGCATAAGGACAGATTTACAGATCAATGGAATAGAACTGAGAGTCCAGAAATAAACCCAGACAATCTACTGCCAAATGATTTTTGACAAAAGTGGCAAGACCACATTCAATAGGGAAAAATTTTCTCTTGAACAAATGTTGCTGGAACAATTTTACAGTCACATGAAAAGAACAAAGTTGGACAATACTTCACTCCATATACAAAAATTAACTCAAAATGGATCAATGGCCTAAATATAAGAACTAAAACTATAATACTATTAAAAGAAAACATAGGGATAAATATTCCTGACCTTGGATTTGGCAATGGATTGTTAAATTGGACGCTAAAAGCACAGCAACAAAAGAAAAAATAGATAAGTCAGATTTCAGAAAAATAAAAACATTTGCCATCAAAGGATATTAAGAATGTAAAAAGACAACCTATAGGATAGGAGAAGATATTTGCAAATCATATATATGATAAGGGTTTAATATCCAGAATATACAAGTATAAAGAATTCTTACAACTCAAAAACATGAAGACAATCTAGTTAAAAACTGGTCAAAGGACATGAAAGAATACACCGGAAACTAGTAAAACTGGCTATGGTACATATATGGGACAGTGGCTCAAGGACAGGAAAACTAGAAGAATTTTCACTGTATATCTTTTTATATTTAAAAAGTGCTAAACAATGTGAGCATATTACTGTTTTTTCTTTTTCTTTCCTTTTTTGTCTTTTTTCGTGACCGGTAATGGGATCGCAACCCTCAGTGTCGCGCCCGCGTTATTCAACATTGTACTGGAAGTCCAGAGCAGTTAAACAAGAGAGAAAAAAAGCTATCCAAACTGAAAAGGAAGAAGCAAAACTACCTTTATTTGCAGATGACATGTTTCCAAATATAGAAAATCCCATAGAACCCATAAAAAAACTACTAGGGCTAATAAACAAATTCAGCAAGGTTGCAAGGTATAAGATCAACACACAAATATCAGTTGTGTTTCTATACATCAGCGATGAATAACTAGAAAAGAAAATTTTTTAAAAAATTCCATATACAATACCATCCCAAATAACAAAATACCTAGGAATAAATTTAACCAAGGAAGTGAAAAACTGTACACTAAAAACTACAAAACACTGCTGAAAGAAATTAAAGACCTAAATAAATGGAAAGACATCCCATGTCCATGAATTGGAAGACTTAACATTGTTATGTTACAATATTCCCAAAATGATCTATAGATTCTATGTAATCTCTATCAAAATTCTAATGACCTGTTTTACAGAAATGGAAAGCTGAACATCAAATTCGTACAGAACTGCAAAGGTCCCTGAATAGCCAAATAATACTGAAAAAGAAATCAAAGTTGGAGAATGTGTAGTTCACAATTTCAAAGCCTGCTGCAAGCTACAGTAATCAAAACAATGTGATACTGGCATAAGGACAGATTTACAGATCAATGGAATAGAACTGAGAGTCCAGAAATAAACCCAGACAATCTACTGCCAAATGATTTTTGACAAAAGTGGCAAGACCACATTCAATAGGGAAAAATTTTCTCTTGAACAAATGTTGCTGGAACAATTTTACAGTCACATGAAAAGAACAAAGTTGGACAATACTTCACTCCATATACAAAAATTAACTCAAAATGGATCAATGGCCTAAATATAAGAACTAAAACTATAATACTATTAAAAGAAAACATAGGGATAAATATTCCTGACCTTGGATTTGGCAATGGATTGTTAAATTGGACGCTAAAAGCACAGCAACAAAAGAAAAAATAGATAAGTCAGATTTCAGAAAAATAAAAACATTTGCCATCAAAGGATATTAAGAATGTAAAAAGACAACCTATAGGATAGGAGAAGATATTTGCAAATCATATATATGATAAGGGTTTAATATCCAGAATATACAAGTATAAAGAATTCTTACAACTCAAAAACATGAAGACAATCTAGTTAAAAACTGGTCAAAGGACATGAAAGAATACACCGGAAACTAGTAAAACTGGCTATGGTACATATATGGGACAGTGGCTCAAGGACAGGAAAACTAGAAGAATTTTCACTGTATATCTTTTTATATTTAAAAAGTGCTAAACAATGTGAGCATATTACTGTTTTTTCTTTTTCTTTCCTTTTTTGTCTTTTTTCGTGACCGGTAATGGGATCGCAACCCTCAGTGTCGCGCCCGCACCGCGCTCAACCAGTGAGCGGACCGGTCTCTATATGGGATCCGAACCCTCGGCGGGAGCGCCGCCACACTCCCAAGTGCCGCACTCTACTGAGTGCGCCACCAGGCCAGCCCTTAATCCCTTTATTTATTTCATCAGTTAGGATATTATGATCAATCAGTTTACTGAAGGACATGTTAATTGTAGTGATATAGCAATAAAAAGGCTTATTATGCTGACAAGAGAATATACATATAACTTGAGAAATAAGAAAAAGTCAAAATATTAATCCTTCAATCACAGGAACTTTAAAAAAAAATAGAGTTAAGAAACAGGGGTAAAACATTAAAAAGTAATTCAATATTAAGGGATGTAATGAAACAAAGTTTTGTCCTTTTATGCAGAGGGGATTGGTTTTAAATCAAACTAACATATATTTCATAATTTTCTAATTAAATTTTGAGGGAATAGAACTTTGTTTTATTATCAATGGCAAATTTTTGATAAAATAGGACAAGGTACAAATAATTAAAAAGATAATGATTAGTTCTTCATGAAATTATAAGTACTTACATATTTTAATAAAAAAAAAATTAAAATCAGCCAGAAAAGTAAACATCATACCACAAATTAGATATATGTGTGCATGTGTGTATATATAGATATATAAGTAAATATATCTATACATATAATGTATCTGATCTGATGATGCAAATTTATAAATGCTTCATGCAGTACAATCAATTAGATTTTGGTGGTACAGTTTTTTAATGATAATACGGAAAATTAAAGTAAAAAAGCTAAAACTGCCTCTCATAATAATTAGGTTTCTGTGATATTTTAAAGATTATATTAAGGAAATATACAAAAAGGGATGCAAACATTAATGCATTACATGGACTATGTTACAAGCTGAAAAAGGACAAGAAGCTCAAACACCATTCTGCCAGGCAGAACTGCAAAACATCTTGAAATTGAACACTGATCCTTCAAGACATAGAAAACTTTCCACACTTAATATCTTATGACTATTTTAAATAATTAGGTAAAAATAAAACCATCAGCAAGAAAACATAGTCTTTATCAAAATATCTATAGGAACAAAAATTTCCTAAGCTCTGCATGTTTTCTTGAGGATCAGTACAAATTTCTTGTGCTAAATGAGTAATTAAGGATAAGCTTTAAATGGGTTTTGCCAATGCATTATGTACCTATCATACTGTAGGTCCCATGAATTATGAGTAAAATCAGTAAATATTAAGAAGATAATTGTAGAAACTATGATATATTCCAAAATATTCTTCATCTATGTTTTATGAAAAATTTTGTGAACTAGAAATTTATCTCATGAACTGAATAATTCAAGTAAATTATCTTACTTGCAAATAAATCATCTACTGTAATTTAAATGAGATCACAGATAACTTTTCATTAATCTTTTATTGGCTAAATGTAACTATACTTAATAAAGATAACTTCCTATAGCATTTATGGCTCATAACACAGGTTATGTGGGTAAACTATATTTGTAACTATATTTTGGGTATTTACAGCATCTGTCAACAACAGGTTAATTAAAAGAAAAACAAAAAAGTTACTTTTAGAAAGTTATTGCAGTCAATATTATGACTATCCTATCATTATAAGGTAAGTGTACTTTATTGCCAAACAAACATAATAAAACTACCATTTATAATAGGCAACTACAAGTACATTTAAGAAAAGAGTTACATTATTAGTCCCTGTTAATTTTCAAAACAAAGAGTGTCCATTTCTCTAGATATATCAAACATATTATACCAAGAACAGACATAAAATAAATTAGCTGACTTGTAACATAAAAAACGAACAGTGTTTATGGCACATAAATGGACCTACAGTAATAGTTAGTGCTGCAGAAGCTAATAATGCTTTTAGCAGAATTTAAAAAACATGAATATCATGCAGTTTTACTGAACTCACCTGACAGAGATGTAAAACCATTCTCTAGGAGCAGAGATGCATGCACAAAAGTAAGAATATGATTGCAAGAAACAGACTTTCACAAAATAAAAATATAACACTAAACTTCAAAATGACAAAAAAATGGACAACATGATGAGATTATTGGGATGAAAATACTTTCATGTGTCTTACCTCTCTCTTTGCCAACAGCACATTAGGAACAATGTGTGGCAGGCAGCGTCCCAGCATTAACATAACACTTTTTTCACTGTCTGCAATCCGAGAAACCTAGAAAACCAAAGAATGAATAAACTATGACAGTGGAGAACTGGCACGTAAAATTTTATACTTTACACCCCGCCACTTCTGCTCTAAACACACATTCTAACATTTTAAATTACGATAATAATAACAATAACAGCAGCAACAGTGTCCCCAAATAGCATCAACATTTTTTGCAGGCCAGAAATGGATTTAAAGTACCAGTAAAAAACAAAAGTGAAGCCAGGGAGGCCTAATAGGTTTAGTTCTGGGAACTAGTAGGGATAGCACAGTATTAGGGCAGCTTCAATGTCTGTTTGTGTCCTCGAAAAGATGCCCACAAAACTGCAGTCACTGCCTAAGATGATAGTGTGTACAATGAAGGTGCACACAGGATGGCCCTAGGAAGCTGACCCAGTCTTAAAATGAGGACTGCCAGACTGCATCTAAACCATCCTCTAGCTCTTTAATATTCTCAGTGATACTGTCCGATAGAAGCCCATGAGAAGACAAAAGGAATCAACCACAAAACAGAAACAGAGGAGTGAATACAAAAGTAGGAAAAAAACCAATAATAAAATAACCTTTCAAAATGAATTTGCAACAGCAATGACAAATAGTTGAGAAAAACCAATCTTCAATCAGCTATTGAAGACAACCATTTTTAATGAAATGAAAATAATGGATTAATCTAAAAATAACTGAATTTGTATATCACTTTGGGTAGTATGGCCATTTTCACTATGTTGATTCTTCCAATC